GGCACTGTGTATCATGGTTATTGCAAGAGTTGCTTCTATCCCGCTGTGGATGAGGAGTAAGCCTTGGGCAGGCTTCTTTAATAATCCCTATCTTTGCTTTTGTGGACTGTGATCCTACTTGGCACTGTATTAAACTATGTTGGAAACTTTACTTTCAAACTTAATTTGCTTCCGCTTTTCTCTATCAAACTCGGTTTGTAATAACTGGTTTCATACTCTGATGATGAAAATGTATCTGTGAACTTTATGTAATATGTGGCATGTATGTTGAATCATGTACGATCTTGGTTGTTGTAAATCATTTATCGAAACCCGTCGTGGTACTCGACGGACTACCGGGTTTATATGGGTTCAAGTATGATAGTGCGACCGCTTGCGGGCCGCCATTGTACTTGTACTCTTATAAATTGGTCAGTTCTGCGACAGCCAGGGTGTTAGGTGTGCTTGATTTAGCTATCTTCTAATCAAATGATTGTGGTCCCACTAGGCATGCCAGAACGTATGTCGGCGCAAAAACGTGTTGATGCACCGAGCACACAGCAAGCTGGAAGGATCTACTTAGGATGAGCTCGGAGATCCGCTAGATCCGCTTGGCTTCAACGTAGGGTTAGCCGATCTTGCGTATTCCTCCCGAGGCGTGCTAGTCAATTTGACCTGCAATTGATAAGGAGAGAAAGTTTATCAGTAATTTAAGGTGGAACATACCGGTCTTTGCCCAGATAGTTCCAAGTGCGCCGCTTCGGGAGCAGCCAGACGGAAAAATCAACTAAACGGCCGATACACGAAGAAATCGGCTGTTATGGACTGTGAAGCTCGTGGATCGTGATTGATTTTATGTTGACAGGTACAATGCACGTGGATATAAGAAACATCATCAGATAGGTGAATATTACCAGTGTAAAGCATTGAGCCGATGAATCTAACAAGAAAGGATATAACATGCGAATAAATCGACTGTTTAGTACGAATGGATCTACAAACGCTATGAATCTAATCTGTTACCATCAACAGTGAGGTTCGATTAGATCGATGGCAACTATGATGATAATAACAAACCAAAACCGAAGAATCCATAAAACCATCTATACATTGATAGGCTTTCCGAAAGACATGCTATATGTGTGAACGCTCAAGCGAATCGGCTAAAATAGCCGATTCAGGTGGAAAAATGACTACAACATATGAACAATCGACTATTTAACATGGACAAATCTATGAACTCATCAGACTTAACCTGCTATCTCTAACAGTGGGGTTCGACCGGATCGATGGCAGCCGTGATAAAGACAATAAATCAAACCCTTAAAGCAAACAGATCTATTCACATTTAACAGAATCATAGGCACACTGTAGGCGTTAAAGCATAGGCGATCAACTATTTAGCCGATGTAGGCATAGCAAACAATCAAGGTCATGCCTGATCGAGAGCAAATCTACCAACTAGCATCCTCCAATCTAAAGTGCCATAAGTGGGGATCGACCGGATCGTTACAGCCATAATAGTGAACTATAGATTAGATTTAACTAGCCAGCAAACCTCCTCAAGATCATACATGCCTTAACCGTGTACTATGCACGATCAAGATCGAAATAGAACAACCGATGAAATATAACCTGTCGCTCAGAGTAAGAAACATCGTATTGTAACAAGGTAAACGACGGGCTAAAAGGATATGAGGCCGATTTAGATCGATCTCGATCAGGCAGATTGATGTTGCTGAAAATTAATAACAATAAGAACATCAGCAAGATCGGTAACTTAATGAATCTATCCGAAGGACGCCACCCTTAGGTAGAGCCGATAACTTGACCTTGATCTAATTCGAGAAGTGGAGGTCGAACTTAACCGATGCGGCCGTACTTAAACTAGATAAGAGTCGATAACTAGCTTATACTAGAGTTCGCAGTGGAGGTCGAACTTAACCGATGCAGCCATACAAACAGAAGTATAAGCCATGACGGTACTTACAGACAAGTCAGAGGTTGGCCAGACCGATGTAGACCTGCTTGTTGAAGAACTCGCCGAGATCTACACTACTCCTACTCCTAAGGGTTAGCGAAAAGCCGAAAAAATAACTTGTATTGATTGATTGGATATCCTTGATACAATAACCGGGGGTTTATATTTATACCCTGGGCTGATAAGAGTCCTAAACGAACACGACTAGATAACAAAAAGAAATATCAAGATATATGGACTCTAATTTTCCTTACGCAGAATCCTTGCTGATGAAGCTTCCTTGTTTGATACGTGTCCTCGTTTCTTTCATCCTGATATGTAGTTGGACATCACGTCTCTCTCAAGTTTACTAAATAATATTTTCTGGCCGGCTCATAAATATCCCTTAATTAGAAAATTTTCTTGCTTTTGACATTATCGGCCGATCTCTTCCTTTCTAGGATAAGCTTATTAAATTTTGGTGTAAACAGTTTGTACTTAGGCCCCGTTTAGATGCGAATTTTTTTGGCTTTTGGCTACTGAAGCACTTTCGTTTGTATTTGACAAAAATTGTCCAATTATGGACTATTTAGGCTTAAAAGATTCGTCTCGCCAATTACGGGCAAACTGTGTAATTAGTTATTCTTTTTACCTACATTTAATGCTCTATGTATGCGCTGCAAGATTTGATGTGACGGGAAATCTTGAAAATTTTTGGATTTTGGGTGATATCTAAACCGGGCCTTATTAAAATCATCATTTCGCACTGTATTATATTCATACCCGAGATTGACCAAAGCCCTGTGACATTTATATTAATTTAACTAGTATGGCATCTTTTGACGTCCAGAAATAACTTTGTTAGTTTAACTCCAACATATTTGGCACTCTGTTTTGAACATGGATTCTTTTGGTCAACTACTAGGTTTAATGTATGCATAAAATAAATTCAAGACTACAAGTAATAAAACACTAGAAACAACAACAAATAAGACCCAATAACTCCAAATCTAGCACCATTTGACAAAATATTATATTTTATAAAATAATATTAATTTCATACTTTCCCATTTAGAATGAATTACTCGTGATTTTTAGGAAAATAAAATAATTTCTATAATTTGAAGAAAATACAAACCATCTTTAATTTAAAACCATGTACATTGCCAAATTTGTCCAGTATTAATAAATTGGTGGAAAAAGAATAGTTTTAGAGTTACTTGGTCAAAAACAAACTCATGTAATAATTGGATGGCCAAAAAATAAACTTCTCCCTTTAAGATTTGCGCTCTATTTCTCAAGCTAGGTTTAAGCTTGCGTGCTTGATTGTGTTTTGGGATGTGTAGCTTTAGTGATACCATTTCTCTAGTATAATGCATATTTCTCTCAATATTTTTATGATTATGGTACATATTTTTGACAAAAAGTAATATAGACCATTAGAGCGTCTCCAAGAGTGCCTAAAAAAAGATTCCAAAGCGCAGGTTTTAGGATGGTTGCAAAAAAATTATTAGGCGGAAAATGACCTTCCTCCAAATGTAGCCTATATTTGGTGCCCAAAAACTAGATTAAAAGTAATCCATTCGTTCTAAATTATAAGATGTTTTAGTTTTTCTCGACATATTATTTTTATTATATATCTAGATAATGTATATATCTAAGTTTATAGCAAAAATAATGTATCTAAAAAAGTCAAAACGCCTTGTAATTTGAAATAGAGGGATATTTGAGAACATGTAGGAGTTGTAAGCAAATATGCCATGACTCAAAGAAAATTGAAAATAATATAGGATTTCTAGGTTCTTTTGTAAAGCTTGAGATCTTATTGGCCATGGTGGTCGTCGGCTATATGTTATGCTCACAGCAAGCAACACCACGATGTTTAGCTGTGCACGACAGCTCAGCACGCGATGTTTAGTCTTATAATAGACCCATGACCCATCAGTGTGATGGCCACTAAAATGGACGAAACAAAGTTGAGTCTGCTGAATGATGTAAGAGAAGACGGAGGTCACCATTATAGCACGGAGGGACGAGCAATGGAGGTGGTCGCTCCCAAGATGTGTCAGTGACGGCTACTCCGACCATCAAACCAAAAGCCGCTATTAAAAAAAAAAGACCCAACTAAATCACTAATAAGGTTAGCGAGACCAATTGTTATCCTATTAACTAACCCAATTTAAGCAAACTAACCCAATAATCCCTAGAGCTGCCTTCTGTACGCTTCACTAGCGCGAGCCATAAGATTAGGTTGCTTAAATAAATACACATATGGCCGAACTCGAGATGCAATCTTATCAATAGAATATACATATCTTCTGCACACTCTTGTTTTTTCAAGAAAGGATAGAAGAAGTCAAATCTTCATTGTGCCCTTACGTATTTGACTTGGGTATACACAAGGAATTTAAATTGTTTTATTAGAAAGATTTAGGTGCTAGATTGCAACTAACCATAGACATTAGGGGTTAGTAAAGAAAACTAGCATGGCACAAAGAACATGGTTCGCAAATTGATGAAAGACATGGTGAAATCCGTAAAAAGGCCTGGCTTGGACTAGATTATAGCAACTTAAAATCTTGTAGGGGTAATTTAGAAGATATCCAAGACACCGAGATCACACTTAAATCATAGAGAAAATTCTTGGATTGCCACTGAAATCTATACCAATCCCTTCACTGCCATCCAAAATTAAGAGCTCCCTTCGTTGCCATCCGTTCTAATTTTTTCCTTCCTTCGTTGCCACTACGGTTACACAGCAGTCACGGCGTGACTTTAGTGCTCATACCCGACGTCCAGGAACAATCCAACGGTTCAAAGAAAAGGTTGTTTTCAGATCCGCCCAGATCGCTACTCGGCCACCTCCTCACGTGCTCCGCTTTGGCGCCGACGGGCTCAAGGCTGTCCGGCCGCATGCCCCGGGCCCTCGACCGCCTTCCGTGCTCCAGACCTCTCCCTCGCCCAAGAACAACCTCTCCGCGCGCCTCATGAAGGCTCTCCCTCCTCGCCTCCCTCCGCTGGCCGACTCTCCTACAATGCCTTCTCCGGCGCGCTCCCCACGATGTCGCGCGCCTCGCCTCCTTCGCTACCTCGACCTCATCAGCAACGCCTTCTCCGCCCCGCTCCCGCCGCCTTCCCGCCCACGCCCGGTTCCCCGTCCCGTCCGCAACAGTTCTCATCCCCCGTGCCGGAGGGGCTGGCGGCCAAGAGCCCGCTCTGCTCCACCTCAACGTGTCCGGCAACCAGCTCTCTCGGCTCGCCTGACTTCGCCAAGGCGTGCTCTCGGCGCTTCGGCGCTGCGCCGCCGACCATCATCACACAACCAATTCTCGGGCCCGTCACCGGCGGGCATTGCGAGCTCCACAACCTCAAGACCCTCAAATTTAGCGGCAACCGGTTCTTCGGGCGCTGTCCCGGGGACATCGGCTGTGCCCGCACTCAAACCATTGATCTTCGGCACCGTCCCGACGTCCCCGCTTGGCTCGGCAAAGTCGGCGCGGTGCAACATCGGACTTATCCGACAATGCGCTCACCGGAAGCTTGCCGGACTCGCCGGCGACCTCAAGGCACTCAAGTACACGGATCGCCCAGAACCAGCTCTCCGGATCGCCCCGGCCTCCACGCCCATGTCCGTGAACACGCCGCTAAGCAAGGCGACGGAGATCGGTAGCGGCGCGTTAAACAAGACGGTACCGCGCGCCCGTGGGCGACGGGCGGGTGGTGGTGGTGAAGAAGCTGGTGGCGGCGAACATGGTGCGGTCGCGCGAGGAGTTCGGCGGAGGTGCGCGTCTTTGAAGGCGCGGCACCAACTCTTTGCCGCAAGGGCTACTATCGACGCCGCAATGTAGCTGCTGATCACCAACTACGCGGCGCGACGGCAGCTGGAGGCGCGGCTCCACGCGCGTCGGCGGCGGCGGGAGTTGCCGCCGATGGCGTGGGAGGAGCGAGTTCGCGTGGTGTCTGGGGCGTCCAGTATACCGCCAACCTGCACCAGCGTTCCGTCCGCCGCCGTCCACTACAATGTGAAGCCGAGCAACATCTTCCTATTGGACGCGAGTGCAACCGGCGGTGGGCGACTTCGGGCTGGCGCGCTTTGCCGGGAAGCCGGCGGATGGCGGCGGCCGGTTCGGCGAGCAGCGGATGGGGTACGTTAAGCCGTTGTCGGCGTGCGTGCGCTCTGCGCGTGTGAACGATAAGTGTGACATCTACGGGCTGGGCGTCTGATCCCGGAGCTGGTGGACGGGCGGCGCGCCGTGGAGTACGAGGACGACGACGTGGTGATGCTCATGGACCAAGTGCGCGTCCTGCTGGAGCACGGCAACGCGCTGGAGTGCGTGGACCCAGGCATGGGCGGTCAAGTCCCGGAGGAGGAGGTGCTGCCGGTGCTCAAGCTGGGCATGGTGTGCACGTCGCAGATCCCGTCCAACCAGCCCTCCATGGCGGAGGTGGTCCAGATCCTGCAGGTCATCAAGGCGCCCGTGGGCGGCGGCAGAATGAAAGCCTCCTTCTGATCCATCCTGACTGTCAGTCACGAGTCACGACCAACCAACCAACGTCCGACCGCCGTGTGCAGCGATAAAACAATGGCCATACAGAGGAGCTTATAACACCGTTAGTCTAAAATTGACGGAATGGCAATAAAGGGAAGAAAAAATCTACTTGGATGGCAATGAAGGGATGAGATAATTTTGAATGGCAACGAAGGGATGGTTATATTTTTCGATGGCAATCAAGGAATTTTCTCTAAATCATATATGCCAGCGGATGCTATACCGGCCGGTCAAGCACTCCGGGTGGCACCCTCGCGGCCTAGGTTCGATCCCCCACGAGGGCGAATTGCAGTGCCGACGGTAAAAAAAAACATCGTCTGCCCTGCGTTACCTAAAGCACAAGTTTGTGGCACCGGCCCACTCATAGGGTAACATGCCCCTGCGTGCGGGCGGGTACGATGTTGGGGGGTTTTCTCCAACTAGGTGAGAAGTCCTCTACCTTAATGCGAAATGCTGGGAGGCACATGGTATACTCCTGCAATCTGAGTTTTTTTTTAAATCATATATCTCTGAGGTTTTTTTTTTCTAAAAACTTGAGGCCAATATAATGACGCCATGGAGGCTGTTGGCCTGGTTGCTGAGCTATATGCTTGGTGGTAGCCGGGCCGCGTCGCCCCCCAGGCCCCAACGTCATGCGTGTCATGGAAGAGGAGGGTGGTCTTGTCCTTTTGGGGTGTGGATAGGTGAGGAGCCTAGTGAAGTCAATTTTTGTAGTTCATTTCTGCGGACTTCTCCTCTGGAGCTGTTACTGTGTGCATTATTTTACAGGGCTTCGGCAAGAGCCGGAGCTGAATCCGTGCAGGGAGCTTTACCAAACGTGCCTTTAATGCTACCGCAATTCTAACAAACAGTCATGTTTGTTCCAAAAAGAAAGTTGAATCTCTCACTGTTAGTTAGGATTTTCATTGATGGTAAAATACATCCGGAAAAGAACTTGTGTTCGATCCCTATATTCAGGTGACAGATGGGTAACATAATTCAGCGGTTTGGTGAGAAGCGAAAAAGAGAGTAAATACATCAAGGTCAATAGAGCAACATGAGAAGCTAGCAAGTAGCAAGAATATCTCATCTAATCAGTTCCGTGGTGGATATCATTATCAAGGCTTGATGATCAACCATTTGACCGATCTTTGACTTCGAGTTAGCTTCTTGGAGATGAGCTGTCCGTCCAAACATCCGAAGTTCCATAGCCCGGTAATATGAACCCAATTTTATTTATACTACTAGTAGTAGAAGATTGAGTGAAACTTCACAAAACTATATTCGCTCTCGTTAAAAAAACACTTGACACGTGATTTTGTACATTTTTTGACGAGTATTTTTTTACCATCAATTCCTTCTAAAATATAATATTAAATTCCTTCAAATTTAAGAGATTTTGCAAGTACTTCGAACACAAATCCACACATATAACTTAAATATTTCAACACCAAATAATGTGGCAATTATCATTGTAGTTGAAGGTTTAGCCAAATCTTGTCCTATGTAAAATATTTTTGTGACTGGATGGGTAATGCGATCAGAAGAACTATCGCAAAACAACAATTCTATATAGTAAACTTTACAAAACTATACTATAATTAGAATACCTGTCACAAAACTACACTCTTAAGAATCAATTTGAAAGAATTGCGCTTTTCTCATTGGTTCATATATGATCATATCACAAAACTACATATTTGCGTTGTGTTCATTTTGTTTTACAGATTTACACATTTTTATGTTTCAAAGTGTAGTTTATTTGCAATTCAAAAATGACAATAATCATATGACTTTATGATTGTTGGACATTACAATAGAAGCGCATAGTCACCAAGTCATAATTCTTTCATTGGTAGGAAAATGGCCATGCATCAATAGCGGGAACCATGTGGTAACTTTGTTAATCTTGAGGTGTTTATAGGGATAGAGGGCGTGTGCATGTGTTCACATGGCTAAATATCCGTGTGTGTAAAGTTTATGTTTGTACCGAGTCTACAAAAATCATAGCTTCTTGAATTTAATTGTCAGAAGCGTAATTTAGTGTAGTTTTGTGATAGTTTTTGCAAGCTTAGTGCAGTTATGTGTGGTATACTCAAGATGTAATATCCAATCTCTTGAAGTAAAAGAAATAAATTTTATGCAATAAAAATCACCCTCCAGCAGTCCGCATATCCAACACCATAAATTTAGTGATATCCTCTCAAATTTGGGGCGACATTTTGTCCTATATGTTCTTTGGGATAGGGGAATTGCAAGGGGACAGAAATATATATTTTTTAATATGCAGAAGAGCTGCATATTTTTGTATTAAAATAGAAAAGGGAAGATAATCACATACAAAAGTAACCTCACTACCCTGACTAGATGGTATGAGAAGGTTAACGCTAGAAAAAAAATCATCTGATATACGTCATGAAACGACACCATCAGAAAAACAAAAGACTCACACTAGACCTTCTACATGACCTTTCTATATATGCGACCAAAAAATAGTTCCCCAAGCTTTCGAGCTCCAGCAAATCACCACAACCATATCTCTTTCTTGAAGAATTATTGGGCAGCTTGCAAGGAAGAGGATAGAACATGAAAAACAATTTGATTTCTATGATTCCCATAATAATGTCCAAGCCTCCAGGATCAAAATGTGATCAAATCCTCTTCTTTGGGCCTTTCCAATTTTTTACTTCATATTCTCCATCAACCAACAAAGCTTCTCTCATTGCTTCTGGGTACCACACTTTTCGGGCTGAGATGAAACAACAAGTAGAACCAAAATTGCCGAGCAAACACAAAATCACAATTCGACGCGCATGCATAGCCGGCCAACGCACGCAACACACGAGCTGTAACTAGTCTGGGGGAGGGGCCGCATGGGTGGGTGGTGGGCGGTGCGACCAGCGAAGAGGTCGCCGCATACCGGGAGCGGCGAACGAGGCAATGGCGGTTGAGTTCTCCATGGCCGATGGCGGTTAGGGTTTTGAGGAAAGGTCTCCATGCCTAGGGCCTTTGAAGGGGAGGGGTCCGGGGGTGGTGACTGGCCCGACAGTGGTGGCGGGTTGAGGGGCTACGAGTGAGGCGGCAGGAGACATCCGGTTGGGCGGAATCGGTAGCGGAGGTAAGGAGTCAATAAGGTGTATGATTGACAATAAGGAAGGACAGGGAATTAAAGGTTGGGCACGGGTGGGCAGCGGGAGGGAGGTCAACAGCGGCCCTCGCAGTGGTTGAGGCAGCGAAGGGAGGAGGAAGATGGATGGAGAGAGAGATGATGGGTTTGTGATGAGATAGACAAAAAAATCATGCACTTGTGACCTCTCCCTATGTGCAAAAAATATATAGGGGAGATTTTTATTAGGATACCTCTGTATGAGAATATGTTAGGAGGACTCTTAAAGATGCTCTAAGGGAGGCTACATATATATGTGCAACATGAAAACCACAGCCCGAGGTTGACCGAACTGGAAAATTTCCACATAACAAGATTGATTGCCCTGCACAACCACACAATCTATCCTTGTTGTCCAACAACTTTTTTTTTTTGACTTGAAGTATATCCCAAGAGAACTTTTTTGTCGATATAGATAACCAACAGGAAGCTAGCTCCTACTCCATATATATCTAGCTAGGTTCGTGTTTGTTATTGTTTATTTAGGATCCTCCAGCCTTTCCTTGTCTTGTAAGCCAAAACACCACGCTTTTCTTTCTTCCAGCAGCAGCAGGCGACGATGCCTGTTCAGTTGCAAGCATGGTATTTTAGGGTGGTTCCTATCATCGATGGGTGCGTAGGGCCTCCACCTGTTGCAGTTGCAAGCAATGTATTTTCATGGCCGCGCGCATCATGTCCAAGTGCTCAACCAGTCCACACAACAGTCAACACCTGCACACATTCCCTCATGACAGATAAACATTCTCTGCTGCAGATTTGTTCGCTTGCTGGGAGGCCCTTCCGGCGGCCAGCAGGCCCAGCACAACCACTCCAACGATCTCATCAGGTCCAAGAATTCCCTCCCATGCACCGTCTAATGACAAATAAACAACAGAGAGGAGAGAGAAGCAAAGACAAAAATAAGAGGAAAGAGAGAGGCAGAGAGAAAGAGGCCAAGAGGGAGAAGAAAATCACAAGAGGGGGGAAACAGCAAGTAAAAGACACTTTCAATGCCATTGCTTGGTCTGTTAGATTTGTTTTTTCTCTACTATTACTGGGTCCTTTTTTCCTTTACAAGACAAACAGCCTGTTCGCTTGTTGGTTTCAGCCAGGGCTTATCAGCCATGGTACAGTATTTTCCTCTCACAACAAACCAGCACCAGCCGAGTTTATCAACCCAGAAATCAACCAGCGAACAGTCTGAAAATTTGTTGTTTAGGGGACCAGACTACCAGAGCAACAGCATCATCATCATCCTCTTTCTCTCTATATATTAGAGCAATCTTTTTCTCTCTCAAAAAAAAAAAAACTGCAATGATCAACTTTACCACACCCTCCTCTTCCTTTGATGATCCTTGCCGCCTTTTTTTTTCTTCTTCTTTCTTTGCCCCCTCTTTGCCCTTTATTCCCTGCCTAGTTGCTTTGCTTGCTGCTAACAAACTGCTTTCCATTGCTAGCTCCTAGTAGCTCCGAGCCTCCTCTTCCAGTTCCAGCAACACGCAACGCCATAGCTAGCTGCACTTGGCGTAGCCATGAAGGAGTTCTCGTACGAGGAGGTGGAGGCGGCGACGGGCGGGTTCGCGGCGAAGAACCTCGTGGGCAAGGGCAGCCATGGCAGCGTGTACAGGGCCAGGCTGAGGGGAGGCGGCAGGATGTCCGTCGTCGTCGCCGTCAAGCGGCCGTCGCACGCGCAGGGTGAGGCCAAGCTCGCCAACGAGATCGCCGTGCTCTCGGCCGCGCCGCGCCACCCGGGGGTCATCGGCATCGTCGGGGTGTCGTCGTCATCGCCGCCTCCGCCGGCCTCGTCGGGGCCACGGCTGCCTCCACTGCTCGTCATGGAGTTCATGCCCAACGGGTCGCTGCACGACCTGCTACACCGGTCGCCGAGGCCGCCGCCGTGGCCGCGCCGCGTGGAGATCGCGCTGGACGTGGCGCGCGCCGTGCAGGCGCTGCACGCCGCGGCGCCGCGCGTCATCATCCACCGGGACGTCAAGTCCGCCAACGTCCTGCTCGGCCGCGACGGCCGCGCCCGGCTCGCGGACTTCAGCCTCGCGGTCAGCGTCAGGGAGGAGGAGGAGGACGACGAAGACGACGAAGAAGGCAGCTCGGCGTCGGCGGGGCCAGCCCCAGCGGGCACGATCGGGTACCTGGACCCCTGCTACACGGAGCCCGGGCGGCTGGGCCCGGCGAGCGACGTGTTCAGCTTCGGCGTGGTGCTCCTGGAGCTCGTGAGCGGGCGCAAGGTGATGGACGTCAACTCGTGCCCGTCGTCCATCGTGTCCTGGGCTGCGCCGCTGATCGGCGCCGGGCGGGCGCGGGAGGTGCTCGACGCCAGGGTGGCCGCGCCGCCCACGGCGCGCGCAGACCGCGCCGTGGCCCGCGTCCTGTCCCTGGCGGCGCGGTGCGTGTCGGAGACCGTGGAGCGGCGGCCGGCCATGGACGAGGTGGTCTCCGAGCTGCGCGGCGCCCTCGAGAGCGCCGGGTGGCGGCACGGGAACAGCGGCGGCGTGGTGGAGCGGGTGTGCAGGCGCGTCGCGTCGTGGGGGCAGCGCGTCAGGAGGAGGAGCAAGAGGGTGAGGGCGACCAAGGTCGAGTGCACCGAGCACTCCGACAGCGGCGTCGCAACCGGCTTGTCGTCGTGCGCCGCTCTGCCATCGCATCGGAACAACAAAGGCACCATGAGTGGCGCACTCAAATGAATCCAAAGCAGAAGAGAATGCTTTGAATCGATTCGAGAGCGAATTGGACCTCGTTTTCAGTAGTTGATTGATAAACCTTAGATGGATGTTACTGTTACTGTTACTGTTACTGTCACAGTAGTTATGTTACGAGACTAATCTACGGTTGTTTTGCTCGGTCTGTTCGTTTTTCACCTCGTGCAAGATATACACGTCAGTCTCGAGATATGGATTGACGTCGCGATGATGTATATACACTTGATGATTCACGTTTGAAGTTTGGGTTTCTTCATCTTTGACTTCGACTTGAGACCATCATGCATTTCACTATCGTTCTAGTAAGTATATGATTGTGCATCATCCTGTCACCTAGTCCAACGCATCCTATCAAAACTCTGGTAATGTAGGGAGATTATATATATATATATATAGAATGGGCAGTCGATGTCAACCAGGGCAGGTTGTTATATATAGAATGGGCAGTCGATGTCAACCAGGGCAGGTTGTTAGGCGGCTGGAGACAATCTAGGCACGGGTAGCTCATGGAGTTCAGGTAGCAAAATCAAATGAACCCATGCTGGCATGCATGAGGCCTACGGCATCGATCTGCAGCACTGGTAGTGGTAGACTAACATCAGAAGGACATTTTTTTTTCGCTGTAGCCATGAGATGGCCATTATGTGAACAGTGAACTGGCAGCTGCTGAACTGCCCTGCACGCATGCTGCATGCAACCGTAGAAAAAAGCTCCTCTCCTTGATCTGATTCACACTGTAAAAGGTGGGAGAAAGAAAGAGTGTGAACAGAAGAAAGGTGTCATGAAGTTAATCTAGTCTCTGATCAGATGCACTCACGGCCCATGAAAACAGCTTTGCTCATTTGTATATATAAAAATCCAAATCCGTATCTAGTTTTGTTAATCTGTTATTTAATCTGCTTTAGTTTGGCTCTTGGTTTCTTTAATGGATAGATAGATAAACTCCAGGGAGAGCGAGCTAGGATCGGATCTTCAGAGGATCAGTTCCGGAGTTTGGGAAAATAAGAAAGTAGTTCGATATATAATAGTATCATGCTTTTTGTGTCTGGGCTTGAATTAAGGGTGCATGCATACCTGTGAAGACGCATTAACTTATTGCAAGTGCATGAAAAATAAGGTATGGTAGCTTTCATAATTCTTTGTTTTAGAAAATACTAGAGATAAGGGACACAACTAGTCTACTAGTATTCTAACTACAAATCAAAGTCAAACAACGCGTATACCCAATTTGCATCCTTTAAAAGATACTCCCTCTATTCCAAATTACAAGACGTTTTGATTTTTTTGAATACATTGCTTTCACTATATGCCTAGACATAATGTATATTTAAGTGGATAGCAAAAGCTATGTACCTAGACAAACTAAAACATCTTATAATTTATAATAGAGGGAGCAGTATTTTATACACTTAACACACTAAGCTTCCTCAGTTCAACACGCTTGCAATTATATAATCGATAATGCATTTGCACAGAATTCAAACCCTCAGAGAAGAATTTGCATGAATCTCCTGCACATTTAAATTAATTCAAAAATGGTATTGCAAACGGAGCCTGGAATGTCACTTTGCGCTCAAGTGCTGAACCATAAAAGGTTGGCTTCGCTTTGCTTTTTTCTCATTTATTTTAAGAGAAGCAGCCTCCCTTGAAACGTCTACCTTATGTTATTTGAATAATCAGGTCGCCTCTTTTTTCTAATTGAAGTTTAAAGGGATGGGGGAATCTCTAACATTTGAAAAAAGTTGTTTCTTTTTGTGGAAAAAAGGATGGGTAGACGAGGAGATTCAGTCCAAGAGAAGTTCCATTGACGAATTCCTTTGTTGAATACTTCTTCCTGGTTTTGCCTCTTTTGAGCGTTGACAAACCTACTAGTCGTCATCTTCCAGCACCCGCGCTTGGAAAACAAGAAGACTGGTGCAATTTCTTGCGGATTGCGGTGCCTTAACCAATTTGATACACATGACAGACTTCTACATTTGATCGAGTAAAAGGACTCGTTCAAACAGAAAAAGGGTAAGATCGTACTTCCACTTATGTCCTGCCGTACGGCCAACAATCAAGAGATCTCCAGTCAGCCTCTAGACCAAAGCAGAGCCTTTAATGTCACCAAAGCAACACTGTTGTTCAGTTACCTCTACGGTCAACGCCTAGGCAGAAGGCAGTGCGGAGAAATTGAGCCGACGGCAAGATCTGCTAGGGTTAGGATTTGTGTACGTGTTCATAGGGTGCGTGTGCGTGCGTGTGCGTTGTATAATTCTTAAAAAAAAACAAACAAAACCGGATATAGCTAGACCTGCATACGTACCATGTATTTCTGCAAGAAATTCAAACACCTAAATTTGGAAGGGAAAGGCATGATCATTGTACCAAGATAACACAAATTGTAATACAACCACAAACAAATTTGAACGAAAATTACCGACATGGTAAAATCCCTTGGGAGAAAACAAACGGATATGTCCATTGAAGCAGGGAGAGGAATAAGGCATAACCAAATGCAGTCAGTCTCCAACACTAGACTAGTTACTATCATCAGGAGAGGAACTAGCTTCAAATTGGCGGCGCATCTCACTTGGCCATCATCACCTTCACGAACTCCTCGTAGTTGATCTGGCCATCACCGTCCACGTCGGCTTCACGGATCATCTCGTCCACCTCCTCGTCCGTCAGCTTCTCACCAAGGTTGGTCATGACATGGCGAAGCTCAGCAGCGGAGATGAAGCCGTTCTGGTCCTTGTCGAACACACGGAAGGCCTCCTTGAGCTCCTCCTCAGAGTCAGTGTCCTTCATCTTGCGTGCCATCAGGTTGAGAAACTCAGGAAAGTCGATGGTTCCATTGCCATCAGCATCAACCTCATTGATCATGTCCTGAAGCTCAGCCTCGGTAGGGTTCTGCCCCAATGAGCGCATCACAGTTCCAAGCTCCTTGGTGGTGATGCAGCCTGTAGCATGAGCCAAACATTACTTACTGCTTTCTCAAATTACTTAAACTGATATAGTAATAAACAATGAATCAATGATAGATAATAACCAGGAAAATATCTGAGAAAGACAGCTTAAAAATTTAAACCATTTTCAGAGGCGGCATTCCAATCATGATATGGTGTCAACAGTAATAGCAATCATGCTATCAACTAGTCCCCTGAAAGTTCCAGCTTTAACATGTTATCTTTCTATAAAGACTACCAACCATGTCAAAATGTATTCATCCTCAACATGATCTGGGAGTTATTACACTTGATAGGCAAATAGCAAACCATGTACCTGCCCACAGGCAGAAAAGTACCACCAGACTACTGGTGCTACAGGATAACACCTCTACTAACTGACAAACAGGTATCAACATTATTATAAGGATATAAATGCCATACTTTTCTTTATCTGACATTTTAAATTAATGTATTTCAGAGGTACAGATCACTTCTACAGTTCTACAAGTAGGCAGCTATATAACAATTGACAGCAAACCATGAACAAATTAACTGTGCCATCCAAAAGAACTTCTGTAACACAATTAGAGGAATCAAGTTAGACAACAACCTACATAACATAAGAATCTACTTGGCTTTTCTTTATCAGAATGGAAGGAAATGTTCAAGGGAAGAAAAGCAAAACCAAATGAAACCTAGATTTTCTAGGAATGAATTTCACCCAAGGCCTAACTATTTGGGTTACAATTTGTAGGTAAATGAAAATGTATCATGATGAATTGATGATTTGTGAAAGATCATTAATAGCTTCTAAATACTACTCAAGATTAATGCCTGAAATGATATTCGAGAAAACTATTTTCATATGGTTAGGACACCCTAAATCAAAACACAAGCCCAAATTTATCGAGCACTTATTGATAATATGCGAATTGTTTTGATTCATATTATACTGGGATACAAACTACAACTGAACTCCATGATATCAATAACTTAGTGTAGATATAAATATCCATATCCATACACAATTAAAGTTGCAATGAATGTTTGGCTATTCTCACAATGAAAACTGGCTACAGTACAATTATTAAGCATGCTAATCAATACCTACTGTATGAAGAGGACTAGAATAGTACCTATTTAACGCAATACTAGATGAGCACCAGAACTGCTAAATTTTTTAGGCAGCACCACAGCAGGAATGCCATATGGACCACCCTTTTTCCTACACGCTATGCTAGCACACTCGGTGGGTGTACACTCCCAATACCTAGGTTTGAGTCCTCTTTAACTTGAATTTGAGTGCCTAGTTCTTCTCAATTAAAAGTCCACCTAGTTCCTCTTTTGCTTAGTCAAACTTTTTTCCTCTTATTATTACGCTAGCAGTTTTTTTTTTAGATAATGGAAAAAAGTTCTGGCTTCAAACCTCTTCAAAGAAGAGGCATCAGTCCAATTCAATACAAATCAATTAGGAAACAATAAAATGTCGATTACGCTAGCAGATGCCCCACCAAGGCATCACAAAAAGAAATGTGGACCAGACTCATACTGGTAAACCCACTGAGCCAGATTTCCTGAGGATTTGAGGTACTCTAGAAGCATAAGGGCTTCTGCTGCTATGAGCTATGTTAGCATATAGATTCGATCATTCAAAGCATAATACAAGACTGTACAACTAAGGGAGCGATCACAAATAAGAGAATAGCCCAACTGGAAAATTGCTAGAATTGCCAATTCTCTGCATGTTCTTAGCTCTCGACTAGGACTAGGGATTGCCAAGGAAGTTGATAATGTTATATTTTAATCCAGATCTAACTAAATCCATTGAGAGCCTGGTTTAACATGGAACATGAGAATTCTATAAGGAACATCAGGAAAGAAGTTTAACTAGTGATAGCATGATATCAAACAGTTATGCTCCCTATAAAACAAATGTTACCAAAGGTTCATAGGTTTTGACTGTGCATTTCTCAGCTAGGTAACTTTTTTGTTAACCCTAAATCAACTTTGATATGTTTCATGAAAGAGAAATGAATAAAAACCAGGTAAAACCCAATGGGTAGGGAACTGTACTTAACAAGCAACAAACTTGAAGAGGATTTTCCCAAGCTACACTATTTTGATGCAATATTGTTCTTGCTATTTTCATCAGTCCCCTTAATATCTTCACAATTTAAAATCAATAAGCATTAGACGATATTACTTCTGCAAACGAATTCATATAGATGTCGTTATTCTTACAGCCATGCCCATCCATTAGCATGAAGGGGAACCAAAAGCCTATGGTGCTATTTGCTTACAAGTTACAACTTGCGAATGGTGGATGGCAAAATTTGGTAACTTGGACCAAATCTGGAAACCATCAGTTCATTAGCACAAAACAATAGTTCTAAGTTTTTTGCCAGAATTTATCCAAGTCAGATGAACAGTTCTGTTTTAGCACACAATCACAGTGCAACAGATTGTGAGATGATGAACCATAAATCTGTAACGGAATGGTCACACCCTTTTTACCCACAACCCGTCGAAGGTGCTAACTGCTAACGCCTGTACACAATAATGCCACGTGGTGTAACCGACGTCCAATGGCTAGCTCCAATACTTGCTAATTCATTCTGTATCCCTCGCGCCAACAACACAACACACATCATCTTTCCTGCTATACACACGCCTTGCTAATTCATTCTGTATCCCTCGCGCCAACAACACACCACACATCACCTTTCCTGCCATACGCACGCCTACTGGCTAGTGACTCACCATGCCCCTACAACACCCATGATGCAATATGATTGCACCATGCTGGGGAGTTCACCACCTTCAAGCTATTCCTGACAACTAACTAGTGACTCAACATGCTCTCATAACTCCCCACAATCAGGACCACACCACGCTGCGCCCTGCGCTACATTCAAGCTGCAGGAAGCAGCATCCGCCGCCACCATGTCCGTGCTACCCACCGTGGTGCCACCTCCTCACACGATCGAATGCTTTCTACCACCTCCTCACACGATTCAATGCTTCCTACTATCACTATCCCGGTTTACAATAACGGGGGAACTCCCATGGTATGGAATGATTCCTTGGCTGGAATTCCACACAACCTCCAATCGTCGGATACTAGACCCAGCCGATCGATCTGCCTTCGAATTTCCGCCCGGGTGGCCGGGTAACACCTCCACTCGGCTCCGAGGCCAAAAGCAATTTGTCTCCCCGTTGGGGATCCTACTCAGAGAAATTGCAAGAACTAGGCGTAACGTGATAGAGCCTGGAAGAGATGAGGGCGTGAGATCTGCATCTACATGTCGAGATACCCCGAGACCAAAAAACACACCCAAATCTACCCCGCGATCCGCTCGATGCGAGGTGCCACGGACACAGCCAGCGGCCATGTGAGATCTCCCGTCGCTTCAGTGGCGTGAACCTACCACGCCACATCAAGCCGCGCGCGCACGTCTGGAGAGAGAGAGAGAGAGAGAGAGGGAGAGAGAGCGGGGGCGTGGGGAATACCGTCGCCGTCCTTGTCGAAGAGGCTGAAGGCCTCCTTGAACTCGGCGATCTGGTCGTCGGTGAGCTGGTCCGCCATGGCAACCCGAGCGAGGATCTGACGGAGGGAGGGAGGGAGGCCGGCAGGCAGAGAGGCAAACCGCGAATGGAGGAAAGTCTGGAAGTGGGGGAGAGAGAAAGAGAGGAGAAAAGAGGGCACTGTGAGGTCAGCGGTCAGAGGCAGTCCCACACCGACCGGTCCGGTCTCTCGTGGTCGTGGGCTCCACCTTCCACGCGCGAGACTTGTCTCCCCTGACCCCTGCTGCTCGTGGTGCCACACCGTGCATTTGAGCATTTCTCTTCTCTCACTGGCCCAAACCCGGATTAAAAGAAATACGCAAGATCGACTCCAGCGGGAGCCCTCAAATCGGCCTCTATTTTTTATTTAAGGGCTTCCTTTTATTTTTGAGAGCATTATTTTTTACAACTACTTCGACAGTAGATCTCAAATTCCTTTTTAAGACACTGACACATGGGACCCGTTCATCATACTCTCTGTCCTTTCCTTTTCTCCGTCGCGAGGTCGCTCTACCCCACTCTCGCCAGTCACGCTTCCGCCTCCCATGCGCCGATAGACTCAGGCGGCGGGAGGGCTCTCCGATGGAGAGCAGCACACGCTAGGGTGGTGGCATGCCGGAGAGGAGGCTGGCGTTGAGATCCTATGGGGAGATCCGGAGAAGAGGGAGCTTGCCACAGGAGGTGTCCATCTGTGGGGAGTACGTGGCCATGGAGGGCTCTGGCGAGTACGTGGTGTGCCGAGGAAGTCGCAGGGGAGGAGCTATGGTAGGGATGTCGTCGGGGAAGGAGCCGCCGGTGTGAGCTGAGGTAGGGGCATCGTCGGTGAAGGAGCCGTCGGTGTCCTTCGGCTCGGCGGCACGCGGACACGGCAAGGAAGGAGCCGGAGAGGGATGTTGCCGGGGAAGGAGCCACCGGTGTGAGCTAAGGTAGGGGCATCGTTGGTGAAGGAGCCATCGCCTGCTCGGCAGCACGCGGACACGACGAGGAAGGAGCTGGAGAGGGGCGTCGCCGGGCCTCGCAGGATGTGCACGAGCGGAGTCGCGAGCACGAAGGAAGCGCGGGCAAAGAATAACCACAAACGGTGATTTGAGGGCTTGGTTCAGAGCCCCCCCCCCCGAATGAGGGGTGGGAGGGGGATCTGAGGGCTCTCTCAAATTTGAGGGCTATAGTAGGGGCCCATGTTGGAGTGCAGTTTTTGCCTCTGAGTCCTCAAAGGTAGGATGAGGGCTTAAGTAGAGGCCCTGCTGGAGTTGCTCTAATAAATATATTTTGAGTTATTTTTCTTTCATTGTTTTTTTCTCAAATATATAAAGATTTGCGCATCTTTGAATTAAGCAGGAGAGAGTTTTTACACGATGCCCCTTCAACAACGCGCTAAGGAGGACAAGAATGTTTCTTCAAGCTCACCACGTGCATCCGAAGGAAGACAAATGATACCAATCTTGCCATCCTCAAGCATGTGCCCCCCCTACAAACATAAGGATGTGCAGCTGATGTCAAACAACTCTTCTCGTGACGAATCCTTTCTGGTGGCGGACAACATGTGGAAGGTAAAAAATCATTACGAACCCTGATATTTGGTTTAGCCTGGCCATTTTCTATTTATCTTCTTTGTGATTTGCATCTCAACCATCTTGTATCAATTTCATGTTTCATTTTTTATAGCAACCAGTAAGCATGAAAATGCTAGAGGTCGCTAGCATCATGGTCTCATGGACAAGGAGATCACCGAATTTCTCTCTAATGTGCCGCTTGGCACCCTGCTTGGTGGTTCAACTTCTGCGGTCGCGTTAGCTATTGCTTTAGCAGCCACTTCTATCACTGTAGAGTGAGAAGTCCAGCATAGCGTGATGACGAAGAAGCTAGCAAGACTCCTATGTTGTTGATGCCAAGTAAATAGCTTTTTTTTTCTCCATATCAACATAGTAAATTATCCTTTTCAGGTACCTGCTCCCTGTTTTGGGTACAAATGCCCTGGACGGCTGGGTCTTGATTTCTTGTGCTCTAAACAAGCACTAAAATTACAAAAAAAATCATGGAAGAGCATATACAATTACTGAAATCTAATAAGGACCAGCTTGTAATGGAGCTTGTAGCCCCTCAAGACAACCAGCCACATCCACCGAATCTGTACCTCCCTATTGGTGGTGATGAGGACTACGAAGCTAGCTATTGTTCATATTGCATCAAGCAAAGCGTCAAATTCAACCGCTCTTACAAAAGAATCCAATTGCTAAGAGCCATATATCGTCCATTACTTCCACAAGGAGTCTATAAGTGGACCGAGGAATTTAAGGAACCTGGCGCCAATGATTTGACAACATTGCTCTAGGACATCAATAAGTTGAAGGAGTGCTTGACAATGAAATCTGGTCTGATGATTTTTTTTTATTTCTTCGAGGGTGAGAAGGCAAAGGGCACAATCAACCCTTGAGATCTCGGAGAAATGTCGTCTAAAGGTGGAATTTGAGCTACAAGTGCTCAAAGCTAGCTAGTGTTGCTAGAGAGAACCAGCTAAGATTTGTCTAGAAGGACAAGATGTGACAATAGGAGGTCTAGCGGCTGCAAACTCAACTTGAGAATAAGAAAAAGGTACCAGGACAAGTTTTGTCTCTTCAAGACTCGCAACAAGGAAAGGGTTACTTTGTTCTCAAGTTGAGCTTGCAATTGTTGGACCTCCTCTTGTCACATCTGCTCCTTCGAGGCAAAATCTTGGTTGGTTCTCTCTCTAGCAACACCAGCTAGCTTTGAGCACTTGCAACTCATATTCCACCTCCAAATGACCTTTCTCCAAAATTTCAAGGGTTGAATGCGCCCTTGCTTTTCACCCTAAAAAAGCCTCCTAAAAATCACTACACCAGATTTTCCTATCAAGCACTCCTTTAGCTTGTAGATGTCTAGGAGTAGTGGTATCAGATCATCTGCGAGGTTCCTTAAAGTCCTCAGACCACTTATGGATTTCCTTCTAGATGTAATGGATGATGTGGCTCATCAATGATATTCTTTTGCAAGAGCACCTGAATTCAATGCACATCTTGCTTGACATAATCCAAACGATAGCTGGCTTCATAGTCATCATCGCCGCCAGCAAGGAGGTGCGAAATCCATAGACATAGCTAGTTGCCTTGAGGGGCCAGATGTTTCACTATAAACCAGTCCTCATCATATTTTAGCAATCACATATGCTCTTCCATGATTTATTGTAATCTTAATGCTTGTTTAGAGAAAAGACATCAAGCCAAAGGGCACCTATACCTAAAATAGAGAGATGTAAAATTCATAGGTATCCTGAAAATAATAATTTAGTATGTTAATACATAGCAAATAAAACAACTAGTTACCTACCACCAACAAAATGGAACGAGTCCTGCTAGCTCCTTCGTCATCATGCATCATGTGTATTGTATGCTGGACTTCTCTCTCTTGGCAACCCGAGGAGATTAGTTGATGAATATTAAGGGTTGTTATTAACAACTGGCATAGTCACAGAAGTGGATGTAGAACCAACAACTAATTAACACAACCATGAAAGTTTAACCTTCGAGCAAGGTGCCAAGCGACACATCAGAGAGAAATCCAATGATGTCCTTGTCTGTTATGCATGTGGACTCTAGCATTTCGGCATTTCCACACAATGTGTGGCTATAAAAAGGAAACATGAAAATTAATATAAGATGGTTTAGATGCAAATGACAAAGAAACATAGAAAATGGTCAAGCTAAGCCATACAATCAAGGCACATGATGATTTTTTTTTTGCTTTCTGCATGTTTTCCACCACCAGAAAGGATTCATCATTAGAAGAGTTATATGGTACCAGCTGCATGCCCGTATGTTTACAAGGGGCATGTTTGAGGATAGTGAGATTGTCACTGTCATGTCTAGACAGTGGCAATATTTGTCATTCTTTCTACTTTCCTATGTAGGTGGAGGGCTTGGAGATCTAGATCTACTAGGGTGACGAGAAGATGACCCACTAGGTTGCTTCCTAGTTTGGGTCTATGTCTAGATCCATTAGAGGACATTGGGTAATGGTGTGGCACCACTGTGATCACTTGAGGATATTGGTCCTGGCTAGAGCTTATAGGGCTCAGATGATAGATGCTCAGCATTATAAGCTCCAGGGCTAGAACATTATGAACATGAAGAATAAATGCTAACATACCTTCATTGGATGAACTAGTCGTTTAGGCTTGAAGTCCCCGTGCCTATTTGATGCAGGCAAAATCCAGTCGGCGATTGCGATGATGCAGGCAAAACCCAACAGTATGGTTCCTCCTCATTGATCGGTAGGCACGACAATTGCGATGATGGTGTATCTACATGCGTGCGTGAGTCATGAGTGCGATCAGCACTATCTATCCTGTGGCGCGTTGCTTAAATTGCTTGCAAATCACTGAATCAGAAACGACATTGATATGGCGTCTATTGAATGGATGACATTTGCAAGGTTGCACAATTAGTAGCCTAAACAATATACAGTAGAAACCTAATGTACTAAACAAGGGCATGTTTGGACGGTAGCCGTAGGCTGCCATGACGTAGATGGGGCTGCACCAAATGTGTGGCGTTGAAAACGCTTGCCCCACATTTGGCAAGATGCGGCGGCAAAATTGAACTAAGTTGCTATGGTTTTGTTGTGGCACGCCCTAACTCCGTCACCAACCAAATGCCAGCCAGAGTTCGCCAAATTTATGGCGCACTACTTGTGGCAAAGTGTGGCAACAAACCAAATAGTCCCCAAATCATAAACATAATAGCTACTGTAATAGAAAAGGGAAACAATGTCCACCTTAGTGTTTCTTGTGTCATACCTGAGATGCTCAGGCATGAACACGTCTCATCAAAATCGTGCAAGTGTTGGCAAGGGTTTTCATCATCATGCCCTAAGAAGGGTAGTGCCCGAACCATGGCTATTAAGCTAGGGTGGAGTTTACAGCTAGATAAAATTGGTTTTGAAAGTGGTGGCCCCGAGAACTCCCCTTTGAAGCAGAAAGGTTTTGAATAAGAGTTGGCTTTATGA